ACAAGAGAAGAAGGTAAGATAATGAATAATTGGATCAAGTAATTAAAAGTTACCAGATAAAAATATAAATGGAAGAATAAACTTTGAATTAGAATAAATAAGCGTAAACTTAGCAAACATCAAATGTTTTCCAGAAACAATAGAAGCTGTGATCAATAAAATTAAAATAAAGAATATTTATTAAATATTAAGATAACTATTATATATAATTATTATCACAAAGCTAGAATAAGGTTAATATGCAAAAACAATATATTTGAATGTGTATAAATAGAATGCAGAAGAGATATGGCAGATTCTTACGTATGTTAGAAAGGCAAGTTAAAGGTTTATTATTTAAATTGAAAATGATAAACATATCTATATCAAATGCCACAGAATAATAGCAATTTAATAATAACATATATTATGATGCATTGATCAATTTAAATAGTTATGATTAATAGTTAATCATGCTATTCAAATAAGTCAAATTATATTTCTTAATCGATATTATTCCTTATACAAATTTAGTCATTTTAATTTTAAATATTGACAAAAAAAAAGTTTTGACTTTTTAAGTATAATGTTATTAGCAGTAAGAAAATAAAACAAGAGAGATGCAAAAAGAATTTACAATGAATATAAGCATATTAATATTAATTAACAAGTGATGGAATAAAAATTGTGTATTACTAATTGAAGAAATTGGAAGAAAAATGTTGATAAGTTGATTATTAAAAATAAATTAAGAGATAAAGTTAAAGATGATGCTTATATATAAATATTCTAAATCAAAATATGAAGATTAAAATAAATTGAATATTATAAATTAAAATAAATAAGATGATAGAAAGTAATTTAAGATTAAAAGTTATAACATCTATAATTTGGGATATCAATGAAAGTTTAATCTTATTCACTTTTGACGTTCATAGAGATGTCTAAGGAAGTAGGATTTCGAAAGAGACTTTGGCTGCATAAAAAAATTAGAATTTAAAATACTTTGTAACAATTGAATTCTCCAAAGATGGGTAATATTTAATTGGAGGGGGAAATAGTAAATTTATATGCCTTTAAGATATGAAATACAGAATACTGATTAGAAGATTTGTTGTTTCAAATAATCTATCTTTAGATGGAATGAAATTAAAGATTAATTTTTAAAATATTGATTAAGAAAATCGAAATATCGAAGAATCTAATGATGAAAACTAGAGAGAAAATTTGCCTGGAGCAAAAATTTTTGATGTTTTTAAAAGAAGTACAAAAAGAGTACCTGTATAAGTCTTTAATATACAATTCACAGAATCGAATAGAGAATTTATAGTTTCCTCAGCTGAAGGGGTTTCAATCTTTGGATCAATCAAAAGAAGATAATATTTTGATCCTTAAGAAGTCGATGAAACTGTATCTTTTGAGGAAATTTAAAAATAAATTAATGAATAAAACTACATCGAGGCTTTGATACTAAGCCTTAAGTTGGATATAGCCACCATTTTAGACTAAGTCTTTGTCTCAATTCCATTAGATTCTATTATTAGTATTGTACCAGCTATACCAGAATCATTAATTGTTAGACTATTAGAAACCATAATCAAATCTATATAAAAAAATAGATAAGTTGAATCATGCTTGGTTTGGATTAAATAAATTTTGATAGAATTTGCACCTTTGATTAAAGGATCCACAGCAAATAAAAAAGTATTTACTAATATTAATTTATAGGTTTAAAATATTCTTTAAGAAGTCTTAAAATAAATTAGACATGATTTTAATAGAATAAAAAATCCGATTAGAAAGAGTATAAATATTTTGGAATATATATCAAGTTGATAATATATTTGTATATATGATTGTATAATAAATTTTAAGTTATCAAATATTTGCATTTCTTTCAGTAATTGATGTAGGTTGACTAATCTTTCTTTTAAAAACTTCTTTTTACTATCTAGTTGATTAACTTTGCTCTACTAATAAACTGCAACTGCTTCTTGATATGTGTTCAGAAGGGCTCTTTTCTCTTTAAATAGAATTATTAGGATATCTTCTTATTAAATGTTTAATATTATGTTAAGAATAAAATGAATTATCGATACTGTTTTTTTTTGTAGGTAATTTCTTTACAAAATTTTATTTTTTCGGACTTGTATCAGATATGAGTCTTTCTTCAATTTTCAAAAGATCTTCCAATTTAACATGTTTAAATTATTATTAAGGTTACTCATGTTCTCTAAGAGATGGCAATGGAGATTCAAATGAAAATTCTTAACATATTGGCATTTATAGAATTTATTCTCTTAATTCAGGGGATCTTTCATCAACTTGTTTGGAATAAGATTATTATTATTTTCTTTAAATATTAATTACTTAAAGAAAAAAGTCCATGTATATTTATTTGTCAGTATTTTCAGCACATTTCATAAGCATTTATAAATTTGAAGGCTCAAACAATTTAGCTTTGTCTAATATTTAAAAAGCTTTCCTAATTTAATCGAATTCACTTGTTTTATCTCTTGAACTTTCTAATTTTGAATCCCATTCACCAATATCATCTATTTGTGGTGGTTATATTTGAGAGATCTTAGTGAGGTCGAAAGATTAATTATCAAGCAAGTTTTTGTAAGCTTCTCCACACAGCTCACTTATATCTTGAGCTTATTTTTGTGTTTCTTACAAACTGACTTAAGTGTCATCAAAGAGTAATTTTTCAATTTCTTGCATTTATAATTAGATTTCATTTTTTTCTTTTAAAATCTATTTTTATGACTAAGCTAAAGCAATTCCTGACTTTTATAGTGTGTCACACATTTTAAATAATTATTGTAGTTTAGTTTAGATTAATTGTAATCTACTAAATAATTGAATAAAGTCTTGTAATTATATTTCAACAAATGTAGAAATCTTCTAATGCTTATAGGGTTTAAGAATATTGAAAATGTAATTCAAATTTTCAACTAATAGTTTTTTTATTTAATTCATTAATTTATAAATTAAGATAATCACTCTTTCTTCGCTATAAGGTTTGTATTTGTTCTAGCATTGACTGTCTTAAATTTTTCCATCTTAAAAGGTTCTTTTTTTTCAGTACCTTTTATAACTGCTAATTTTTTATGATTGCTTTCATGAAATAATTATGAAGCTTTGTTTGGTCTAACTATTGTGTTTGTCATTTTTTATTCCTAAATGTATATATGTGATACTTATGAGCCAGCTCTTTTGTAGTATTTGTCTAAGGTAACGGATGCAGCTTCTATGCCATATGAATTACCCATGACTAATTTCATAGGAGTAGAAGGTCTAAATTATTTATTTAGTAAATAATAATAACCTGTTTTTTCTTCCATATCTAAACTCCTCTTCTGGCAATTCAATTGCTTAAATGTTAGTGCCTTTTTTGACTTATAATCGAGCATCATGGGTTTATCTGAATTTATACATATCCTAAAAAGAAATTTGATTTAAGTTACATGAGCAGTAAGAGATCCATTGAAAACAGACATCTTATTAAGCTCAGCAAAATCTCGATTGGGAATTCTATCCTAAGATTCTTGATGAAATTTCCAGGTCATTGTTACTAAAATGATATAAGATAAATAAATACTACCTTCCTTTGCTCCTTCTTTATCCCTTATAAGTGGAAGGCCATAAATAAACTCCTATTTTGGCAAATTGTATGTAGAGGGTTTTGATTTTCCAACATCATCTTTCATAAGTACTGGATTTGAATAATTATGAGAGAAGGGAGGAGTCGTATACATTATTAATAAAAATATGAATTTATTAAAGTATGACTTTATTGCCTAAGAAAATTTGAAATTCTTAAAAACATACAAATACAAAGGCACAGACTAATCGCTATTGTATAACTACATCCTCTCACCTTTTGCGAATTGGTGTTTGAAGTATGTGCCTTTAAATGTAGCGTAAAAGAATATTCATTAAAAAAAAGTCCTAATACACTAACTCTGTTGGGACTAATTTGCATCATAATTTGTCACATTTTATTTTATTTTGTGATGGGAGACAACTTTTTAGGAACAATACCTGATTGGTTATTGTGGACAACGTTCATTTTACAAATGATCTATATGGTAATTATAATTCACCTAAATTAGAATTTTGATAATTTAGATGGAAAGCAAGCCAGAAGAACAGGTATAAGAATAAATAAATTGTGTTTATAGATAATTCATCTCCTTTAGGTATGATTCTGGATCACAACTTTGATTCTATGATAATAGCAATATAAGGTAATTTATGGACGTAATTTAGGTACTAATTTCGTCACATGCCTATAATGCGGATAATCAATATTGGCATTCTTATTAATATGTGTCCCAACCTATCCATTCTATATCATAGCGCATGAAGAATACTATACACATGAAATGAATTTGCCAATAATTAATGCGGCTGCTGAAGGCACGGTCTTTGTTGGGTCTCTATTTGCAATAAATGCAATTTTTGGTACTTTCAAAAATATATTTTTAAGGTTGTGAGTTTTGGACCCTGAAGATACCGCAGTTTTATAATTTATAATTCAACACTGTGGCTATAATATTATTTTTTTTTGTTGTGGCCTTCGGACTCCCTTTTGTGTAAATAAAATTCAAATATTATTTATCAAGGTTCAAGAAAATTACAAAATTTGTCCCCCTCTCCAAAGCATTAAAATCTCAAACCTATATGCTATTCACAGGGTTTGTGTTATTTTATGTCATACTCTTCTCTCCAAGTGATGTTGGTTCAAGACATATGAGAGCTATTCTATATATTTTTGGTTTCACAATGAGCAAAGCTGTGGTATTTGTATTTATTTATTATTTAAGGGTATTGTGGCTGTGTATCATGTAAGCAATTAAGAATTGCCTAAATATTTGAATTCTATTTATCTCTTCTTGGTATTGCTATTTAATACTATATATGGATAAATATTTGGATAATCTTTAATTGAGGAGGGATTATTATTATAAATTTCAGCATTCATAACTGTCCTTGTCCACATTCATTTCTTGTACAATATAACTAGATAAATTAGTGAAGCTTTGAAAATTAAAGTATTTAAAATCAATAAATGATTAAATTTATAAATGGATATTAATATCGGAGAAACTCTCTTTATCATTGTAGGTGCTGCCATTTCTATTTCAGTTGGTGAATTAGTATCATGGTTTCTTGTTTATAGAAATGAGGATTATAAAGACCTAGTATCAAGAATTGAGACTGCTGTTGCTAAATATAATAAGGAAAAAGAATCATTTGTTAAGTAATCCATTATCATATGCATGTTACCAGAGAAACCAATGCTAAAAATTAAGAGAAGAGGCTTTCATAAATTGAATCGCAAATTAAAGGATTAAATTATGAGATGACTTTTAAAAAGATGATCTCCAATGCCGCAGTAGCTATACTCTCTATTGTTACAATTAATTCCATTGGAAATTATTACTCAGGAATTGTGGTGGCTAAATTACCATTTGAGCCTTTCTGGATATTACAATAAATCACTCATAGAGGGTTAAATGGTGAGGATTTAACCGATTGTTCCTATATATTCATTTATGTTCTATCAGCACTCATATTTAAATCTAACATACAAAAAATATTTGGTATATATTCATATTTAATAATTCAAAGGTTTGGAAGGACCTAAAATGCCATTTGGTCCTGGTGGTCCTTAACCTAGTTTGTTCAAATAGTGAAATAAATACATTACAATAATATTTAATAAACTTTATTAAGTGATTCTACTTCCCATTAGCATTCTGAATTTAATATATTTATTATTAAATAATCCAATCAAACTACAACTATAGATGAGCCAAGAAGAATATTAAAAATAAGAAGAAGCTCCTGATGCAAATGCTCCACCAACAATTGGTTAAGTTCAGTAGCCAGTAAAGAGGAAAAATAAAAAGAGAGCAATTCTAAACCCATAATAGAGCACAGGACATTGGAGCGAATAAGAACATAAAACTTACCTTAATTTTCTAAATGTGCATAGATCAGTTATGGAATCATCTGATTAAAAAAAAACCTCTAAAATATTTAAACTAATGAGTGAAACCATCGGAACAAGAAGCCCTTCATAATGTAGGTATAATTACTTTTGCATATTCAAAGATCTCACCATTAAAAATTTAATCCTTTCTCTCATCAAGTAAAAAAGAGGTAAAAAGGAGCTGGTCGTAAGAAAAAAGAAAACAACAACTAAGCAGATAAAGCAAATAATGGATTCATGGAAAATGCTTGCTTTCCTTAATTTATGTTTTAACCTACTGCTTCTTATTTCCCCTAATAACCTTTTGTAAATATTAAAGAATGAGCTTATAGGATTTTTAGATGATGTAATTACAATAGTTTCCATTCATGATGTAATATTTGGATTAAGCAAACAAAGATGATGAAAAATTAGTTTAATAAGACCCATCAGTTTATTTACATTAATTTATTATGAATCCTCAACAGATTTATGATGACAAAAACTAATTTTACAATTTTAGTTTTCCTTAACCATAATAAATGTAATTCAACTTTAATTACTTTTAACCATTACCAAATGAATTCTTTGGTACCAATTCAGCTGAAATAAATTAAAAGGATAACTAGTCAGAAGATCAATGAATTAATTAGATATATATATATATATATATGATCAAGATAATCTCATTCTGGCACTATTCTTCTACTATTTATAATTTATTTTGCTTTATCCCTAAACTTAATTACAACTGTTGGTTTCTTTTTTGAAAATGACATTGTTTTTCTTTGCCTTTCTAATTTGTAATCTTCTTCAATGTCCAATTTAGAGTATTTTTTAATATAAACAAATGGATAAAAGAAATATTTAATAAATCTCGACAAATTCTCAATTAAGCGCTTATTATAGCAATTACTAACTTCTAAATGAGTAAAATTATTATGAGGCAAATAGAATTAAAAATCTTTTTATAGGTCAAAGTTTTCTAAACACATGAAATTATCTTTCAACTAATTTTAAATCAAATTAGACAAATTTTATAATTAAATTACGGTAGGTTCTTATTCTTAAAATTATTTCAATTGCAAAATTCTTTATTCTATTGATTGCCAATTCTCTTGAAGTTCAAAATCTCTTTAAAATAATAAACTCATTTTTTTTTAAGGATCTTTTTCAATTTCTATTTTTAAATTTTTAAGTCTTTTTGTGAATTGAGATTGTTAATGCTAGGGTATACCTCTTTTTTTGAGTTGAGTTTGGTCACCTTTAATTGAAATTATTTATTAATTGCTTTTCTAAGCTGTTCCCTCTTCCTCTTCTTGCTTTTCTGGAGTAATTTAACTTTCCTATTAGCTAACATTATCAACTAAGGATGAATGAGCTCTTGGTAAGATTTTTAACTCATTTGAACTAAATTAATCAACAATTTATTGATTGGTTGAGAATTTCATTAACGGAGAAATAGTATTTTATCGAGCCGCTCTTTTTGATTATTGTATTTCATTTAATTATCCAATCCTCTATAACTTTTGTTATTTAGCTTAAATAACTTAAGCAGTTTTCGATATTTGTAATTGCGGAGTTTATTTAATATAATCTTTTACCTCATCTGAATTAATACTATATTAAGGGGATTGTTGTAGTTCAAAATCATTATCATTGATCTCATAATATTAAGATTCTTTCCAAAAATCTTCTTTAAAATATTAGGCTATTTCCATCACTATTTTTTAGTCTTTTTTCCCACTAAATTAATTTCTACAAACTTTTCTTTTTTAAGGTATTCTGGGTTATTTAAAAATATATGTTTGAGATTTAACTATTTTTTCCTTATCGGCACAATAATGGACCATAGGACAATTTTTGCTTATATGATTTCTCGAATTGCACATGTAACATTACACTCCTATTTCTCTCAAAAATTGTTCACCATTATTATAAAGTAAATCATCTCTGATTTAACAGTATTTTTCTTTATCCTCTGGAAACTCTTTCAATATTTTTAAGAATTAATTTCTTGGTAAGATCAATAATTTAGAAAATCCTTTACTTTTATAAAACTCACTACACTATGTCCCAGTAATAAATTCATATAAACCAAACACTTGACCTTAACTCAATTATTTAATATATGAATCACTTTTACAATTACTTTGATCTTAAATAACCTGTATTGTTCCTAATTCAATGAAGGCCAAATAATAATTTTAATAGGAGTCGGGTTATTCAGAAAATTCTACCAAATTTTCTGGTTAAACATCTAAATACCTAATCTTATTAACTAAAGCCTTTGTGAAAGCAGGGGAAAGAAATTTAGAAAACATATCACAACTATTTAGAATAATTGAATTTGCTTCTAACATTAATGAATCTCGAAGATTTTCTGATAATTATTCCAAAATACCTTTAACTTCAGAGGAAATCTAAGTATTTTAACATTCCCAATAATATGCTAAATATTAGCGTATTTTCACCTATAATTCGTATGTGATTTTCTTTTTTGCCATGTAAGTATTAATCACACGTAGTTTTTGCAATTTCTATTCACTATATTTTGATATTTCATCAATAATTGCACCAACTGTATTAACACTATATGGTAATTGAATACTAAAGATCATGATGTAAATAATGCATGTCACATATTCTAAATTAGCTAAAAATAATACAATACTCTACATTATGGAGTTAAATCACCATATCCAACAGTAAACATAGTTACAGTGCAAAAATAAAATGATCTCAAATATTACACTATCCATTACTCATTAAGTATATCTTCTTTAACCATCCAACTTGTACCATTGGTTACAGAAGTGCTTATTCTGCCACACCCAATCCAAATACATGCGGAAATGTGCAAAACATATAATAATAAAGTGATTAATTTTGCTAATTCTAAAAAACCAGCCTAAATTTTATTAAGGTTTAAGACTTCTTCAAAAATCCGAATTAGCTTGGTAATATTTTAATATTAAACAGTGAATGATAACAATCCAATAAAAACAAAGGGTTCATAATCACCTATCGAATCCCAATTTACAAAAAGCAAGCATATTAAAAATATTACAGAAAAGGCATCTAAACCATATCCCTTACTAAAGTTATGCTGGATTATTTTCGATCTTTCTGAAACTATTTATCCAAATTAATAATATGCTGTATTTAAATTGATAAACATATCTACAATCAATAATAATGTTTATAAAGTAGTAATTATTATTAATTTTTCTGAGTATAATAATCGTTCCTCAAATACCATATCAATAGGGATTAAAATAATAAAATACAATCTAGTTATTGAAAGAACAACATCCCAAATTATTCTCCCTTTATTTTCAGGTTAAATTACTGGAATTTAGTGTAAAACCTAATGAAATTTGCTCAAAATTAAATTAGATATCTGTTTGTATTTAGATATAAATTTTTTAGTGAGGCTTGGAGAAATAGATAAATGAAAAGTTTTCATTAATCCAAGAGGTTTAAAAGAATGAGATCTTTAACCAAATATTTCAGTATCATAATAAGATGAGGCATCATTAATTATTTCCAAATGTATCGGCTGTAATTAATGAAACATATTTTTATTCCTTAATATTCTATTAACAAATCTTCTTGTGTGAAAATATTTCATAAAACTTCCGCTAACATTTCCTGATTATTTTTGATTTTTATTGATTAATTATATTGATGACTTTTTGTAAATTGGTCTTGAAGATAAACTTTAAGAAGGATGCAATATTAATTGTTCGTAATCTTTTAGTCCTTCAAAATTAGGTGATAATGGACTAAGAATAACTTTTTCTTTAAAGTCTTTTGAATTAGGAGGAGGCTCAACATTATATTTATTATTTTATGGCCTAGGAAACTAAATTCCAGCATCTGAAATTGATTCCATAGATAGGAAATCTATACATTCTTCTGGCCTAAAATCACTTATTATTAGATTATTTTCAGTTTCTAAATTAAATTGCATTCAGAATTATTTTTGAAGTTTTTTACAAAATGTTTATGAAGAATTTAAATATAATTTGCTAACTACTCATAAAATTTATGAAACATTTAATAAATAATCAACTTCTTCAAAGGTCTTCATTTCTTTTTGGGCCAACTCGTTATAATCGATGTCATAGATTTCAACAACTTTATATTTTGGTCTTATTTAACCATTATACTCATTAAAAAGAACTTAGAGTTTAATTTTAAATTATCTGAACTTCGAAACAATTAAAATCATATTTTATTATGATTCATTTAATTTAGAAAATTAATCAGCTGTTAAACCTAGTAATTTAACTGCAAAATCATCAAATACAATAGCTTCAATAGAATTATATTCATCCATTATTTTTAAATTTAAAATAAAACTTTATTGTGGGGAATTATTTTCAATGAAGCATTTTTTACATCTATAATTTTACCTTTATTACGAATATTCCATTTTCGAGTGACATTTATTGTTTGGACATCTTGGATAAATAAAATTCGATAATTCGGTCAAATATCCAATTATAAATACAGTTTCTATGTGATTTGTTCTGTCTTCATTCAATTTCTTAAATACGTTTTCTTCCAACTATTTCAAATTTACTGTTAGACAATCCGAATTAGGTTTCATAATTTAATCTAAATCTTTTTCTAACAACCATTCGTGCAAAGCTTGAACTCTAAATTTTAATCTATAATTACTCAATAAAATCTGAATTATCTAAAATTATAGTGTTGTGATATGAAGAAAGATATGTAAAATTCTATTAGTTCTTAAAAAGCAAGTTTTTGAAGATAAGTATTTGGCCTATTGACAACATTTAATTTGCATATTATTTTCCTAATAATTTAACAGCAATCCTTCCAGTTTAATCTAAAACCATTAATTATAAGCCCATTCCTGATATTGTCTTGATTTCCTATAAAAATATTTTAGTTCAATATTTACTTAAATTGCTGCAACTAAATCAATTTTTTAATCCTTCTATTGATTTTATAAGTCATATATTTTTTTTAATGAAAGTTAAGGAAGATGAGGAAGATTATAATTTTAAGAAACTTAAATAATTGAAAATTGTGTAAATGTTATAGACTATGAATAATTTAGATTATTTTTAGATATGCGTCCATTTTTAAATGTGTAAACTCTTCCTTTTTCTAAAAAATCAAACATTTTTTGGTTTGCTTTATCATAAAATAATCCAATAATGATATCTTATTTCTGATCCAAAATGATAATCTTAAAATAATAAGTAGAAATATTTGAGTTTTTTTTCTTAAATTCAAGCATTTGACTTTTTTGGATAATTCTTCCTTCCAAAATCCAATTTTTCTTCTTGTTTGCCAATAATTCCGATATAGTCTACGAATCCTAACAGAATTTTTAGTAACTTCTATTTATTGTAATATCAATCAATGATAAATTAATCAAATTTTCATCAAATATAATTGAATTTTAGTTAGGCTTTGAATAGACTTAATTTTCTATCTTCACATTCTTAAAATTTTATGGTTCTATTAGCTATTGTTGCTTGCTTAAATTAGTTTTGAGAATTGTATATTTTATTTTTTTTGTTTCTTTCGAATAAATTTCAGGATTAAAAACGCTGAGGTCTAAAGCAATGTCAATGTTCCCCAAATATTAGCATTCAAGTATGACAACAATATACCTTTAGAATTTTTAAACAAAAACTATTTTCCATTTTAAAAGTTATAAGACTATGGATTAAACATTATCGCTATGTTGTTCATCTAAAAATAATAAATAATAAAAGACTACTAAATATTTTTTTCAAAGTGATTGCTGCCCCTCCTGTTAATAAGGCTAGTTAAGAATGAAAATAATCAATAAGGTTAGTTTCAATAATTATCTGTTTTCCTAACACAAGTTTTTCGTTATAACCTTTAATTACAAAGGAATATTTAGTGTCCTATATAATTGAAATTCTATCTTTGTAATTTTAAAAGAGATGTTCTATTTTAGATAGTTGTTCTTCGTAAATCATTAATAATAAGTAAATACAAAAATAATAAAAAAATGGTTTATAAAGTCTTTAAAGTTGAATTTCTGATTCCCATCCAACAAAGAAATTATTTATTTTGAAATTTAAATACAAAAATTAAAGAATTAGAAAAAAAAAATAAAATAATGAAGGTTTTTTTATATTTTTGTATATATGTAATATCAAGCTCATTAGATTACTAATTAATCGCCTGACTATGGTTTAGAACCTTCTTTAGGTTCTCCTGATTTAGCTCCATCAATTTTGTCAACTTGTCCTGATTTAGGTTTGTTAGCTGAATCAACTTAACCAGATTTAGGTCCATCAACTTTATCTACTTGACCTGATTTAGGTCCACCTACAACTTCAAATTATCCTGATGCAGGACCAGAAACCTTTTCAACACCTCCAGATTATGGTAAGTTTCTAGTTAATTTAATTGAGCTCAACCCTTGGTTGCCTAAAAGAACTGAGAGTACTTGATCAATTGATTATTTTGGTTCATATGGCCATAATTCAATCTAAGATTTAGGTTTAATATTGAATGCACCATCACCAATATGAAGATTCCAATTAAATAATGTTCCTTCGAAGGGTTGATTAAATCCATCAGCTCCTAAATAGAACCAGAATTGATTTGGAACAAAATGTTTGAGTCCATTGAATGAGAAACTATCCTCTCTATTTAGATATAAAGCATAAGCAAATCCTTTTCTAACCTTTGAGGAATAACCAAAGTAAAGGTAGACCCACTCTCCTTAGTTTTCTTTGATTTAGAATTTAGTAGATAGATCATTTTAATCATCATCATTAGTATCAAGATTTCCATAATCATAAGTAGATAAGATGAATGAATCTTTGGATTAGAAACCAGCTAAGGTTCTATCACCAGCATTGGTAGAGTCTTTCTAATATCCTGGAGCATTGATAGTCAATCTGAAAAGGGATTTAAGAGTTTCTTCGCTGCTTCCCTTCTTGGCTTATAACCAACCAGAAACTGCATATTCAAGGACACCTTAGTATTGGTCATAGAAGGTCTTGATTGGATTAGGATTTTCTTTTTCAAAGTTCTTTTATTCTCTAAGAACATTAACATCGGTTCTTTGTGGAACCTTGAGATTGGGTTTAGGATAAGCTTAGATAATATCCTTAAGGAATTATTCTTTAGATCCAATAAATCCTTAGCCAAAGTTGACTCTGAAATCTGAAATCATACCATTGAAAGCTGGATATCCGAATTCATTGTTAGCAACTACAACTCTTGCATAGCCATTCAAAGGCATATGTTGGATATCAACGAATTCAATTCTTCCAACGGGGTTTTCTGGTAAATCTCCAAAGAGAGCAAAACCTACAGCTCTTGGTTAATCCTTGGAAGTAAATGAATAGTAAATATAATTCCAATGGCCTTCAAGATAGTCATCATAGTTAATATTTTGAGCAACTGAAATCTTATTTGCCTTCTTATCATAAGTAGTGAAATGATAATATCCTTTGCCAACCCAAGTAGCTAAGATTCTATTTCCGAATTCTGCATTGTCTTCATATTTTTCAGTATTTGTCAATCTAACAAGATGATGGAATGGAGATTTATCATTAACTCTTTGAGGAGTAGTCATCAACCATCGAGTCCACAATCCATAACCATATTCACTAACTCCGCCAACTTCATCCTTGAATGTGACATCATATCCTGGTTTATCAAATTTTTCTCCTTGTGGAACATAGATTAATTCATCCTTTTCTGGTTTCCATTAAGCCTTCTTGGCGACCAAGCTTTAAACTTCTGGTAAGAGTGATTCGAAGTTGCCTTTCTTGGTATCAACATAAGCTCCCTTTCCAAAGACAGCTCCTACTTTTCTAATAGGACCTTCCCATCCTCCTAACATACCATCTGAACCAACAAACATTGCCAAATATTTAGGTATCATATGTAACACATTTTCATATGGAACAACAACAGTCTCAGATGGGAACTTGACAACACCTGAGGCCGCTCTCTTTGGCCAACTGTATCCGAACCAAACGTAAGTCCAAACACCAAAGTTATTTCCAACTGGTGTGGGTTTTCTTATGTTAGCAATCAATCCATTATCAACAGTTCCTAAAGTGTAAGTTGAAAACACCACTTCTCTTGGTTGATACATAATTAATAAATTTCTATCTCCAACCATTGCAGCTTCTTTTCTGTAAGCAGGTTCATTATTTGTCAATCTCAACAATACGTTATTATCTTTCTTTAATGTTGGACTTGAATATCTGAACCATCCATAAATTGCATATTCTAATGATCCTTAATATTCATCTGGCCATTCTTTGACTACTGGTCCTTCTTCAAACTTTCTATTCACCTCTTCATCTTAGATCTTGATTGTTTGGATCGCAGGCTCATCTAATTCAGGTGTAGTGAATGTACCCTTAATAATTGCTTCCAAAGCATCAGTATCTGGAACATAACTTTGTGCACCAAACAACATCTACAATTAAGCCATCTAACCATTAAATCCTTAATAAGTGAATGTGGCACCTAAATACAATTTTCCAAATCCTTCAATTGGTTTATGAGCTATTTCTGGGAATGCAACTCTTCTAATTTCTCCTGTTGATGAGAATTTCACATATCCTAATGCTTGTTATTTAGCACTTGAGAAACAGAAGTAAACAAAATTCCATTCACCTTCTAATTTGTCATCATAATTAATATCTTGAGACAAATTTGGATTGTTGTTAGCCAAGTTATATGTTCTAAATCCATATTGTCCAGCTGTCAACCATAAAGCCAATGTTCTATCTCCTACTTTTGCAACATCTTCCATTTATTTATTCTGAGTGAATCTGTAGACTGCCATTCTTGCTTATTTCTCCAAAATTCTCTTTGGTATAGCAGTCAAGTATCTCAACCAAACTCCTATTGAATATGCTGAATGTCCATCAATTGCGTTAGAATCTAATTCAATTTCTTATTTATCAGCAATATCAAATTGATCCTTCTTTTCATTCCATTTCCATGGTTTGGCTTATATTCCTAGAGCTCCTGCTATATATGGCTCATATGATAAGTAATCCTTCTCTCTGTATGATCCTGGTCCAGCATATAAGTACATATGGGCGTATTTACCATTATAAGGAGTATGAATACCATCTTTACCAGCCCATAATCCCAAATATTTAGGAACTCTGTGCATACATCCTAATTTCTTTTCATTCTCAGTTGTCCTTGTCTTCATGAAATGAACCACTGATTGTGCTTTTCTACTGTATGCATAATAAACATAAACCCAAGCAGTTTAATCAAGAGTTGGTACTGGTGCTTCAGTGAAAATCTAAGCAAAAGCATCATGATTTTCAGGAGTAGTATATGTACTGAAGAAGATTCTGTGATCAACATATTAAAATACTGACAATACTCTATCTCCTGGTCTGACATGATTTGCTCTTGAGGCTTAATCATGATATGATAATGTGTAGACATTCTCCCATGCAACTCTTCCAATTGAACTCCATCTAAACCATAATGAAACTGCATATTCTTATTGTCCTGCAAATTCATCTGCATATTCATATGGTTTCATAGTAGCTTCTTCTCTCTTCATTGTTTGAATGTCTTCAAATACTGTCTTCTTTATTACGTTCAATTCTGGAACCTTAGGCATTCCTGGCATATTCTTTTTCAATTCATCAGCTGATTCAATATATCCTCCATTTCCTAATATCAAACTTATTAATCCTAATTATCCATTGAATGCATGATAATTTTTGAGTAATTTAGTACCAGATGATCCAACAACAAAGTATGCATAATCTGTAATTGGATTGTGAGTTACAACAGGGAATTGTGTTGATCTAACTTATTCTCCATTAAATACTATATGTCCTTAAGCCTTTCCTGTCTTATCGAATCTCTTGTATCCATACCAAATGTAATTCCATTATCCATCCAACATTTATCCATATTGAATATTTTGAACAACATTATTGTTTCCTGGAGTATAGGTACAGAAATGATAGAATGGTTATCCTACCCAAATAGCAAGAGTTCTATCTCCTGGTTAGGCAGCATCACCTTAGTAATTCTAATTAATGGTAAATCTAGATAAAGCCATCCAAGCAGGTTTATCAACTAATTTATTTGGTCCATTCCATAAGAATCTTGACCAGAATCCATAACCATATTCAGTAACTCCATTGATAGCATCATCTGTGAGTTCAACTTCCTTTCCAACCTTTTAGTCTGGTCCCCAAGCTTAGTCAAAGACATCATCAGCTTTCCATGGTTTCAATTCAGGAACAGCTCTTCCACCAAATCCGAATGTTAATAATTCAGATTCTCCATCATCATATCCATTTTCTCTATATGCTCCAGCTCCAACATTGAAGTACCAATTTTCCATTTAGCCATTGAATCCTGGATGCCATTTGTCTTTATGCCATAAGATAGTGAAGTAGGTAGGTACGAATTAATTAATATTGGGGAAATCTCTGTGTTCATCTGAATCTGGGAATTTAATGAATCCGTGAGCTTTCTATTTCTCTTTTGAATAACCTTGATAAATGAACACCCAAGTCTTATGTAAAGTAGCCTTGTAATCGAAGTTTTGTGGGATAGACCAAGCACCACCATTAACTTAATCAACAGTGTAGACAGTTTGATGATAGAATCCTAATCCCTTCCACATAGACATAGTTCTATCACCTGGTTTATCCATATTACCAACAAAATCTTTATCCCAACAAGTGACTCTGTATACAAGATGCCATGGTCCAATATTTGGAATGTCAGTCCATCTAGCCCATCCTGAGATTGCATATTCACCTTTTCCATTGGCATCCTTTTATTCAATTGTAATAATATCTGGTTCTGCAGCAGCATCAATCTTCACCTTATCTTTCTTGATGGGTATTGTCTTTCTAGCCTAATCAAATCTCAACCCATCTGGTAATTTCATTGCTCCAGTGATATAAGCCTTAACAGCATCTTAATCAGCAAAATGAGCTCCATCACC